CTGTATGACATCAATGTTACAAATTTACTTACTTCATTAGTGACCTAAAACAAATGATTAAATATTCTTAATTGTTTTATGTCATAACATTTTTAGGCTTACATTTTCTTAAAACAAAGTCCTAAAACTTTTTTTGTCTCAAGATTTTTTGCACCCCATTCTATATTTTCTTCTAAAACAAACAAATGAATAAAACATACAGATGGACATTTGAAGGTGTTTTAACATGTTGATCTCCGACGGGTTCCTTTATACTTACTCCCTTCTGATTATTCATTTCCAAAGAGTGGGCAAGGAAGATCCAAAACATTGAAAAAAAAGAGGAGGTTATAGGTTAGACTGAATTAGTAAGCAACACATCGGAACTGTCATTTTATTCACATTTCAGGGATCACACATGCCACATTAATAACAAAAAATTCTGTAATATTAAATCAGATCTCTCTGTATTGCAGGCAACCGGTAAAGCACGAGTCATGAATTTTACAATAAATTAATAAGGTTTTATATAGAAAAGAAATTGCAATGGCTGATAAAGGTAAAGTAGAAAGTACAAAATCACATTTTTAAAAAAATCTTATCAAGTCATGCTCATCACTGTGATGTTTCCACAATCCCGAGATTGCCGACATTGTCAAAAGAACTCAAACAAGGCTTGACATTTCACTATTTATCACTGTTTTCCTCACACAGAGGCAAACTTTTGTTAGCGTTCACTTCCCATGATCACACAATTTTTTTTTACTGGTCTAATCAAAGTCAAATCATGGGTGGATGTTGGTCCTGTGGGGCCCTCTTTTGTCACAATTGCAATACATATTGAACAAATAACAGGAAATTACATCACAAATTTGGAAACTAAGGGCGACAATATTTCTGGACTTCCATAGTATTTTTTCAGCATTCCTCAAAATACCATCTTTTGTGTTCAACATACAATTTCGGAACAACTTGAGGGTGAGTAAATTACAGCTATTGCGTTAGGTAAATGTCATGGATTGTGACAACTAAACAATTTGCTTATACTAAATAATATTCAACATCCCCTTCTAGTCCACATTCTTCTACTCTCAATCTTTGTTCAAAAATCACACAGTGTATCCACCTGGAGTTTCATGGCCAGTATGGGATGGGTACTGAGATTCCCATATCTACCAGTTCATGCCCTTTCCAAACACACAAACAATCATCCTACGCCTACGATTCCGATTCCTCCCAATACTTACGCTTCTCCTCTGCTGGGTTAGTAACATTTACCCATCAGACATGGGACAGGATTCATGTAGAGAGGGGCAAATGAAAATTTACAGTCACAGACAACACACATGGACCAAAACAGTCATCAAATGAAGTGTTATTTACACAATTCACTAAAACTAAACAGATAGTCTCGCCCTAAACTCACACCATCAACCAACAAATGACTTACTTTCTCCTGTGCAGCTTAATAATAGGCAGAGACAAATGTATTCACATCTAATAAATTACATGTTTACCAGTATTAGACTCCAGGGTATTTTACATGGGTGTGAAATCATTAATCAGATGTTTATAACGCCCTCAGCTCAGCCAGTATGTGGCCTTCCCTTCTGCCTCGAAATGATAGTGTTTCTATTTTTAAACCTGGTGATATCAGTGACTGATATCCTATCACAGTCTGAAAATTTAAATCCAGATTATTCTTAGCCTGCACATGGAAAGCAGCATGTCTAGCAATGCAAGTCTGAAATCAACCCAATATCCTACTGTGGTCATAAGTGGTCAAAATGTCAATGGTTTTACCATAAGTGTGATCATAAAAATGCATTTTTTTAAATGTTCGGTATGCCTAAATAATCTATTTGAATTGACAAAAATGATCCTTTTCAAAAGTTCACATATGCTTGATTCTTAACATTGTGTTTTTTAGGTTTATAATAGTTATTTGTCTACTGTTTTTGTCATTTTTATGATTCCTCTTATTTTGTTAAAATTATTAACATTTTGCAAATTCTGCACGGAGCATGTAAACGCATGACCACAACTGCACACCCTAGGGCTTGAGAACACAGTGGACAAACATTAATGATGTAAAAATAAACTTTAAGTGAGTTACGGCATGTCAAGCACCAGCATGACATTCGAGTCACTAGAATCCGCTGACTGGCAAAAGAGTCTCTTGCATTTTCAAGCATGCCTCTATGTGCTGTAACTAATATAACTTATAAGCCTTCGAAACCTCGCTTATAATCAGACCTAACAATCTTCCACATTGCCACAGCTGCAAAAAGCATCAGTGCGAACTCCTGCATGAATGCATACACATATGATACAGATTGCACTCTAGTCTATATCTAAAAAGAACAAATCAGCCTAATCGCAGGTGTTAATGAAGTAATATCACAGGCTTGAAAACCTAACACCTCTATTTTCATTCAGCTGCTATTTAGTAAAACATCAGGGGACACAGTTGAAGAACACAACGGCTTACAGTTGCTCTTTTCTTTGAATTAAAGTCCCCAAGAGACTCTCATATACCAACACCTCCAAAAACAGTTGTTGGTATACCTAACCTTGCCTAGTGTACTTTTTGTACAAGCTTCTAAGAGTTGATCGGCAGAAAGAACTATTCGGACACTCCCATTCCAAGACCACGGTTTCTGCCGGAGACCACGATGTCGTCCAGACCTTATGCAACAACATATTCTGTTTTTCAAAAAACTTTGCATACACATCAGTTAAGCTATTATGCTCATTTAATGTGATGAAAAACAAATTTCATAGTAGTATGTTTTGTTAAAACCAAATCTTTTTATTGTGTGATGGATTCACGTGGAGAATGGACACTCACCGGGCACAGCGACTTTGGGCATGTTGGCTGCTGGTTCTGACACTATCACTCTTGTTGTACAAAGCTGGCCGGTCCGACACTGCTCCTTGGTAGTGGGGAAGTGTGCGGCTGGACACTGCACCAGGGCAATTTTAAGCAGTATTTGCCCACTGTAACCAGAGCTGTGTACTGGATACAAGGGGCTTGAGACTCCAGGTTCTGTGCGTTCAACTCTATTTTAAGTTTTAACAGACAGACAGGTTCAAGTGACAAGCCCACACATGGGAAAGAGTGATATTATGTAAGTATTTACACACACACACACACACACACACGTACATCCATGCATGTAGGAGAAATACACACAATATGCTCAGTTTTCAGTTAATTTACTGGTAAAACTTCTTGTAATATGGTAGGCACATTAAACATCCGATACATATTAATATTTCCCCCCAAAAAAGACATGAAATGTTTGTTTTCACAATTTTCTGATTAAAGAACGTCTGCGATACTAATAAATTGTGCTAAAACTGCAAAATACATTATAAATCAAGTTGTCATATAGCTGAAAAAGAAAGGATTGTTACTGTAATGGCAAACTTAGTTTGTATTTTATAGAAAACATCCTGCCTCTGTTAAAGCAAAGCAAAGACAAGACCAAACGCAAACACAGTACGATTAATGGGAACATGTTTCAGATTTCACTGTAATGAAATCAGGCACAGGTTCATATAAATGCCTTATAAATAGCATGATAGTCAACACCAATCATAGTTTTAACTTCTTGATAAACCTTCATTGGCTTTCAAGAGACTTCAGGCATGAAAATAAACATCGCAGCAAACCTTACTATGGTCTGTTAAAATCCCAACTAAATTCATTTTTACAGCTTTCATTGGAAGATTTAAGACATTATTTAAAGGGGTCATATGATGCGATTTCACTTTTTCCTTTCTCTTTGGAGTGTTACAAGCTCTTGGTGCATAAAGAAGATCTGTAAAGTTGCAAAGACTAAAGTCTCAAATCCAGAGATATTCTTTATAAAAGTTAAGTCAACCACGCCTACGTAAAACGGCTCGTTCTAACACGCCCCCACATATCTACATCACGATGTGGGAAGATTTGCATAACGCCGCCCAAATGTTCACACAAAGAAAGAAGGCACAACTTTGATTCTCGCTGTAGTGTTGTTGCTGCCGCCATGTCGTGAAGATGCTGTGTTTCGTTGTGAAAGCGAAACTACTTTGTTTGGCCTTCCAAAAGAGGACAATATCTGCTTCGTCATGCCTAGAGCTGATCCGTGCTGGTCGCTGAGGAAATACATCAACTTCGCACTGTGGATCGCCGGATCGGCTTTCACCGTGGATGAAGCGGAGTCCAGCCCAGGGTCGTCACATGTAGTTGCCGCAAGCCCGCCGGACACTTCTTTGTCGAATCCGCCGGCTACTGCTCGCTCTAGCCCGGCCTCCGCTCACTCAAGGCTGCAGTGTGTGACGCCATTTCTCGTTGTGAAAGCGAAACTACTTTGTTTGGCCTTCCAAAAGAGGACACGACTAGAAATCAGTGGTTAAGTTGCATTTACAACACTGTTCCAGAACAGTTCAACCCAAATATTCAGATGTGTGCAGCACATTTTATGGAGGACTGTTTCCTGATCCTGGTAGAGTAGACTACAATGCCGGCTGTCCTGACTCACAGACTGTAAGTACGTTTTTTATATTTAAAGAATTTGCCACTGACGATTCAAACGCGAGTTTTGAGCAGTGTAGAGTAGCGTTTGTTGTTTGTCATTTCTCCGATCACAAATGCATACATGGTTTAGGTTTACACGGCGCTATCCAACGCAACGCGTAAAAAGACAGTATAAGTCATTATAATCAGTAATTATGTCCCCACTGGATGCAACAAATGCCTCGTTTGTAATGGGTTTTAATGTCTTTGTCTCGTCGCTCTGGCTGGACACGGCATCACAGTATAGTAAGGGGCGTAACACTTCTGTCACACGCTTGAGGTATTCGGCCAATCACAACGCACTGGATAGCTGGCCAATCAGAGCACACCTCGCTTTTCAGACCGACGAGCTTTGTAAAAATCGACACGTTTCAGAAAGGCGGGGCATAGAGGAGAAACAATAATGTACAGTATGTGGAAATTAATGTGTTTTTTTAACCTTAAACCACAAACATTTCATTACACCAAATACACAAAATAATGTTCTTTTTAGCAACGTCATATGACCCCTTTAACATGGGCTAAAAGATGGCATGCTATACAGGACGCAGAAGGTGGCATACAGATTTGGCATGTACACCAGCAGCACCATGTTTCAAAAGGCCCTTAAAGTAAGATCCATCACATCCCATGCTTGAAATCTGATTGACTTTTCTGTATCTAAACCAAATCATTCTAATCATTATGTAATATATGTCAAAATATACAATTAACATCTGAGAGCAAAGAGGATAAAAGTAACTCTAGACTCTAGAGTGAATGGAACTACAGTATATGAAACAAAATGGTAAACGTAAATGCTAAACAAACTCTTTGGCTACAACAAAAAATAAAAAAGGGGAAAAGAAAGGCAAAAGGGAAAGAAATAAACAGAAATAATCCCACTCATTTCTGAAGAACGTCTGCATTCACAGTATTCCTGAGCATTGAACCTGCGGATTAAGATTAAAGGGCATTTCATGTTCTCTCTTCTCAGGTCTGAGATTTTTGAAACGTTTAAAAGAACTGAAGATAACAGCTTTTATTTTAAGATAAATGGGGATAGTCTTATATTACATTAATCCCAATTTAAATACCATTTAAAAACCCAATTCCTTCTCTTGCCTATGAACTTAAAGCGTAATTACGTGAATAAACGTACTTGGGTGAATCTAAAAAAAAACTGCTAAGAACAGGTCCAGGTTTCACCCTAAAAATCAAAAGAACAAATACAAAATTATATTTTGGGTAAACAATATTTATACTACTTATAGGACTATTGCGAGTTTTTGCATTTGTTGACAACTATGCACATTAGAGAAAAAACTGAAGTATGTATGCATCATAGTAGTAGGTGTTAGACTGCCTTTAGGCCTATTAAAAGAAAGCATCATATTACAGTAAAATGTACTGCATCACAACAATGGGTATCACCAATGAGAATAATGGGAATTACAAATAAAACATTTGGATGCATTAAGATGAGAATTTCAGGGAGGGATGTCCATGAAAATGTTCAAATGTGGAAAAAGCTTCAAAATATAATTTCTTAATTATTCTTTACATTTTGTGGTGAAACGTGGCCATGTTTTTATGAGATGCACCCTTTTGCAATATAGAATTTATTTTCATCAACGCCAGTGTGCTGTTGTGTTCATAACAGCTCAGAAGTCAAGAAAGAAGAACTCAATGCCCGTTTACATTTTTCTTCCCAATGAACAGGGAAAACCCAAGTACTAAATGAGACAAACGAGCCTCTGTTGAAACACGTAAATGTCCAATGGCCTCATTTTTCTATAACAGCAGGCCAACAGGAAAGATGACCAGTTGTGCATGAATCCCTTTCAGCCAGCAGAGGGCGAACTCTGTGCACGCGGTCATGAGGCTTCCAGCCTGGTCATAAAACAAAAAACAAAAACAAAGGGGGAGGCAGTGCAGTCACATGACTTCACAGGACACACCCAGACAGCCCTGCTTCCTGTCTTCTCTGCTGTCCAGCTTTTTCATGCGATAATGTCGGATCTCACGGACGAGGGTGTAAAAAGCATCCTCAACTCCCTGAAAAACAAAGAAAATAGACAAAGGATATTTTTTAGCTTTGAAGATTTATGCTTGGTTTGATATTACAGTAAAAGCAATCACCCGACAGTGAAGTGAATATAAGCAAGCTACACTAATACACAAACGGTTTCATGAAAAGCAGAGAAGGGATGAACAGTCTTTGCCCACCTGTCTGGTCTTGGCAGAAGTTTCTACAAACTCAATGCCGTAGCTTCTGGCAAGTTCCTGAGCTTGCTTGGTGTCCACCGTTCTGGCCAAATCACACTTGTTCCCCACTAGGACCATGGGAACATCATCCGAGTCCTTCACGCGCTTGATCTGTTCTCTAAAAGCACATTACCATATTACAGACTTTGTGGAGAACATATTACAAACACGCCATATTTATAATGGAAATTATGACATTATTGATATGTCTTGCACTTCATCCACTTGTGTTACCACTGCTGAAAGGGGTCATGACATGAGAAATCAAATTTGCCTTCATCTCTTGACAAATAAGAGGTCTTTGTACCATTAAAACATCCTGTAAGTTTCAAAGCTTAAAACATCCTCCTCATTATTAACAAAGCATTTAATCAAGCTCCAAAAACGGCTCGGTCGTATCTGAGAGGACATGATGACGTCACAGGGCCGCAAACATTTGCATAAAGGCCGCCATTCTTCTCACCATAGGCCCCGCCCACTAGCGTTCAGTAGCTTGATTACGCGACGAGACACTCGCATTTAGCGTTGCGTCAAAAGCAAATAGAAATTCACACTCACCGCCGCTATCTTGTCTACACTGGATATAGTTTTGCTTTCGGAGACACTCCACGCTCGAGTCTGTCGTCAAAAGGACGACACTTTTTCACTTTTAAGCGTAAACTTTGATTATGTTGTCAAAACACACATCCAATAGCGAGGGGGCATTGATACGGTTTTCTATGCAATGATGTCAATCATTGAGACAATCATAACAGAGGCTGATTACTGACAAGCCTTAAAAGACACACTAGGGCTGAGCGATATAGCTAAAAAAATGTATCAACGATATAATGTTTTATATTGTTTGGTATCGATAATTATTTAAATTTTTTTATAACCTTTTTTAAAACAAAGAGCAATAGAATTTTTTTTTTGTTTTATTTAACCACTGTATTTTTAAATTAGCCCAATTTATTGAGACAAACAACAAATATTTTTTGTTTTAACAGTCAAACACACAATAAAAATTAAACGTATCTAATTTCTAATGTTTTATATGCAGATTAAATAGGCCTTAAGGAAACTTTTGTCTTGTCTCCCGAGGCCACAGGAGGGCGCAATGAGCAAAATAATGCAGCACATTTAAATTGTCAACGCAAGGAAATAAGTCTATAAAAAAATGTGCATTACGTCTACATTAACTCACATAAATCAAATATAATTTAATAAATTGCATAAACAATTATGAACAAAACAGCATCATGTATTTATGCATTGCTTAATCCAAAGAGCTGAAGCGCCATTCACTCAGATTGCATTTAAAAACATATGACACGCAGTGAAAAAGAATAAACCTCCACAAATTCACGACGTGTTTTCTAAAAGTTTAAACTGTTTTAACTTTGCATGGCTTTCTATACATCTCTTCTGTGAGACGCGAGTGCAGCAGTCATATTTGTCCATCTAAAAATGCACTGAATATGCGTTCTGTGTGAATGGCCTGGTTTCGGTTTTAACCTAATCAAGATCTTCTCCGCATTGAGCTTCTATATTTCTATAATATTTTGAATGCATAATGCAGCAACAGCGTGTCTCGTGGGCTAGACTAACAAAACATTAAAATGCAATGTCACTTACATCATCATCACCGCATCTCGTGCTCCACTGATGACGCTCCCCGACGCACTCCTAACATTTGATTGTACTATTTTTGCATTCAAATGCAAATGTTTATTTTAAATTCGACTAATATTCATTTTTTATTCACAATCTCCTCATCACAGGCAGGCACAGCACTCAATTCAGCACGTGTTTGTGTGTGCTGTCTGCGTCACTCAGAGCACGTGCACTATATCGAACAATTTTTATATCGTTATCGAAGAAGGTGTACCGTCGATAAATATCGATACCGTTTTATCGCCCAGGCCTAAGACACACCCCTTAAAAACAGACAGAGGGTCAGAATTAGGGTTGAAAATAATAATTTTTTCCACATATTTATTTGTTCTTTGTGCAAAAGAAAACTTTATTAACATTATAAGTAAACCTCAAGGAACATATTAAAATAAAATAACAAATAAAAAAAAATCCATGTCATGACCTCTTTAAAATCCAGATGATTCATAAAATACAACTGAAACCCCTTTCATCAGCTTACGGACCTGTACAAATGCACATCGGCGAAGGATTTGAGGTTGTTTATGGCAAAGACACAGAGGAAACCCTCTCCTGTCCTCATGTACTGGTCCCTCATTGCGCTGTACTCTTCCTGCCCTGCAGTGTCCAGGATGTCCAGCAGACACGTCTCACCGTCAATCACCACCTGCTTCCTGTAAGAGTCCTGAAGACACGGACATGATCAGCACTGTAAATCTGCATAGAGCCTGACAGTCTCATGATTACATGAATCAAACTAAATATTAGAGTAATGGACATATATATATATTATTCTACTTAAATATTCAGTGTAGGTCATGATGACAAATGACCTGCCAAATGGTGATGGTAATGTGTCAAATATGAAAAGTCCACTAGTACATTCACTTTCAAAAATTTAGGGTCATGCACTAAATTGATCAAAAGAGACATTTATAATGTTACAAAATATTTCTATTTCAAATAAATGCTGTTCTTTAGCTTTTTTTTTTTTAATTATCACGGTACACAAAAATATTAAGCAGCACCACTCTTTTCAACGTTGGTAATAAGAAATGTTTCTTGAGCGCCAAATCAGCATATTAGAATGATTTCTAAAGGATCGTGTGACAATGACGACTGGAGTAATCATGCTGAATATTCAGCTCTGCATCACAAGAATAAATTACATTTTAAAATATATTAAAACAGAAAATAGTTATTTTAAATTGTGATCATATTTAACAATATTAATATTTTTACTGTGTTTTTCATCAAATAAATGCAGCTTTGACAGTGTATGTAATTATGTACTTGTCATTATGTACCTCAATAGTAGGGTCATATTCATCCACAAAGTGATTTTGAATGAGCTGGATGGTTAAAGCACTCTTCCCAACACCACCTGCTCCCACAACAACCAACTTATACTCCGTCATCTTACAGTCCTGAGAGACCACCTGTGAGAGAGAGACAGAGAGAATGCACAAGCATATATTAATAACACTTTAGTACTCATAAACAGATTGACATACAAATAAATATTTCAAAACATCTGTATAAATATCACAAATAAAAAAATTTCTGTGTTTGTATAAATGCCTTTTAGCCTAAATCGAGAGGAGAGAGAGAGGTTATCAGAGTAATAAAATACACTACCATTCAAAAGTTTGGGGTTGGTTTTTCAAAGAAGCCTTACATTCACCAAAGATGCTCATTTGATCAAAAATACAGTAAAAACAGTCCTATTGTGAAATATTATTACCACTTAAAATAACTGCTGTCTATTGTAATATGTTTTAAAATGTAATTTAGGCCTATTCCTGTGATGCAAAGCTGAATTTTCAGCATCATTACTCCAGTCAGTGTCA